CCCAACCCCCCCCCCCCTAACTTTCAGATTTTATCAGCAAACCCCTTCAATTTTGAGACTTTGCCAAAAAGAACCACTAAAGTAGGGGGTTTTCTGATAAAATCTCAAAGTTAAAAGGGGTTATCAAAATAATACTTAACTTTGAAAATATCAAAAAAAGCCCTTTTAACTTTATGTGGGGCTATCCAATAATCGTCCAAAGTTAAGGGTTTTTAAAAATATATTTAGGTCAAAATATGTCTTTCAAACCTTTGATTTTTTTTAATAAATATTTCTAATCTTCATTGGTCAAACTACAAATTGTACCGGTCTAGTTGATTTCTATGGTTAATTGCGGATAGATCCTAATACTATTTGCCAAATTTGTTGGGATTCTCCCCAAATCTTGTTGGGAATTTAACGCCGAAATCCCTAATGCAACAGAAACGCAGAATAAAAAAAAGTACACCAAGTTTTAACGAGGTTCGGCAACTGCCTACGTCCTCGGGAGCCACACAATAAATTTCTTATTAATCTAACAAGAAATTACAATTCAGAGCGAATCTCAAACTTGAGATTCCTCAAATAAATTTAATCTTTACCGTAGCTACAGTAAGATTCCCTTCTCTCTTTAAATACCCCTCTTTACTTCTTTCTCCCCTCTTTAATTTCTTCCTTAATGATTTCACTTTCGAAATCACGACAAAGAGAGAGCGCTGGAGAAAAATCGCGAGAAAGGGGAGGAGTTCCGCCGCCTCTGATTTTGCACGAGAAGATGAGGAGAAGAAGCTTAAATCTCGGGCTTGGGGTTTCCCCTTTTATAGGGAACCCCTAGCCAGCTCACGACAGGCTGTCGTGAGTTGTCCTCAAACTCGCCTGCACGTCGCGTGGGCCTCGCTTGCTCAAGATCCGCCTGCAGCTGTCGTCGAACTCGCCAGACCAAGATTCGCCTGCTCGAGAGTTTCGCCTGCAGCGACCACGAACTCGCCTACTCAAAGAATCCGCCTGCTCGATCACGAGCTCGCCTGCTCAAGAGGTCGCGAACCGCTGGACCTCGAGCTCGCCTGCAAGGTTTGGGCTTCACCCCCAAAGCTAACAAATCTCATAATGAAGACTGCGAGTGTTGACTAGGAATATTGAACAGCTAGTCAATGTTGGAGAATGCAAAGGGTAGAAGTTTGAAGGGTTAATGTATAGGAAGATGAAATGATGTATTAATGGTTAGCTTCTTGAACTTTTCTTTGGACCTTATAATAAGGTATGTGCTAGTGTTAAAAAAGTCATCCTCTAAAGAGAGGGAGGATTCTCTTAGAACTCTTGAGGGATCGGTGTTTTCGGGTTCTTTGAGATATGTGGTGTGATAGTAGGCCTCGTAGAGCTCTTGAGTGATCGGTGTTTTTGGGTTCCTTGAGAGATGTGAGGATTTTCAAGTTTGTGCATGCAAAACTTATATCATTATTATTGGTTGTATTGATTTGTGAAGATAGTGGATTGCTCTGCTTAGAGAATCATGGATGTAGGCATGTTTGGCCGATTCACGTTAAAAATACTTTGTGTTGTGCTTGCGCTCTTGTGTGCTCCAATAATCCCAACAAAATTTAACTTAGAACAATGTAATTCTATTGTTGTAGAAACAGCCTCTGGGTAAACTTTTTTGATTTCTTTACTTTTAGCGAAAGAGAAAATTGGTTTTTTTTTTTTTTGGCAAACATAACCCCAAAGCAAAGAGTGGAAAGTGTTATGCTATAGAACTTTAACCCTTAACCCTCACTACAATTTTGGAGGTTTGGTGTAACGGTAAAGGAATTTGACATGATGTTAGAGCAACCAAGTACGAGTCTTGTTGGTCACGATTTTCTAAGAGGATTTTAGAAAGAAATTGATACTGCTAAGTGAGTCCAACTTAATTTATATCCATAAAGGGTCTTCAACCTGTAGGGGGCGTATAGCAGACTATAAAAGTAGAACCCTCAATCCCCACATAATTTCGGAGTTTTGATATAATAATTAGGGACTTCGACATAAAGAATTTGACTAAGGGGTTCCTTTTGTAACAACAGAACTACGCGGGTAGTAACTTCAGTTCTACCTGCAATTAACACATATAATGATTATCTATCCTCCTCTTCTTTTCTTTCAGAACACACGCATAATTCTTTCTTCCCTCCTCTTCTATGAACCTAATTATATATCGTAACAAAAAATAAATACATAAATAAATAAAAGAAAGAGAGAGAGAGAGAGAGAGAGAGAGAGAGAGAGAGAGAGAGAGAGAGAGAGAGAGAGATCTTTATTGTAACTGTGCACGGTATACAATTTGGATTTGATAATGAAATATTGGGTATCAAATTAGCAAATACGAAGGGTTCGAAGGAAACCCCAATCAAATTTCACAAACTTTTTGATCTAATGAAATAGATATCTGACGAAATTAATTAAGAGATCGACGGACCTTTTGTTGCATGGACATGAGCGGAACCCCGTTAGCGTCGAGCAAAACTCGGCGGTCCCTTACGCTGAGGAGGGTGCCCTTCACCTTGAACACCACGGCCCCGTTGACGTCGGTCACGACGAAGTCGCCGTCGGTGATGCTGATCGCCTTCTTGGTGACGGTGAGGTCGACCGGATACGGTGCGCAGAACTGCGGGCCCACGATCGCCAGGGTAGCTAGGCATCGCAGCCATGGGTCGTTTCGGATCGAGTTTGGTGAGGGCGTGTGGCTTGGTAATTGAGAGGAGGAGATCTTTGGCTGGTGCTGGCAGTTTTTTTCTTAGGGCTTTTTGTTTTTAGGTCCATTTGTTTACCTAGCTTTATCTTTAAACCCAAGTATTATTAGTTATATCTTTACACCCAACTTTTTTTTTGTATTTATCTTTAAACCTAATTTTCTTATATAGGGGGACCCACATATGAGAATAATATATTTTGGAATTGGGTTTAAAGATAAATACAAAAAGAAAGTTGGGTTTAAAGATACACCTAATAATTCTTGGGCTTAAAGATAAAACTAGGTAAACAAATGGACCTAAAAACAAAAAGACTTTTTTTTATACGCTGGCATGAGGTGTGGACAGTTTTATAGATGCACCCAAGAGTTTTTATTTTAGGGCCCGTTTCAATAAAAGTATTGAAAGTAAGAAATAGATTACAGAAATAACTTTTAAAACTATGAAATAGGAAGTAGCGAAAATAACATTTTTTTGTTTGTTTCATATATTTTTAGAAGTAATGAAAGTAGAACTTCTTCCTCTTCATTTACTTTTTTGTTTGTTTCATGTATTCTTTCTGATATTGCTTTTTTTTTTTTTAACTTTCTGGAGTTTTTAAACCAATTTGGTCTCTGTACGCGGGCTTCATACTCAAATTAATCCTCGTCCTTTATTTTTTCCAACTTGGTTCTTCTGTTGGGGCTTTATACTCAAATTTGTCTTCTAACTTTACTTTTTCTCGAATTAATTTTCGTATTGGGGTTTCATATTCAAATTGGTCCCTCTATTTTACTTTAACTTCCAGCATTTTTCAGTTAGGGTTTGTGACCCTAATCTAAGTGAGTGAGGGGAAATGAATATAAAAATTGAAAGATTTCTATTTTTATAATTAAAAATAAAGATTATATGAATGGGTTTTTTAATATAATTTAAGAGGTATTTTGGTCTTTTTAGATCGCGTGACATACCTAGGGGGACCGGTTAGAGTATAAAACCCCAGTACGCTAACCAATTGGAGTATGAAACCCCAATATAAGGACCAAATTGGTCTTTTAGCTAGGCTTTTTTTTAAAGAAAACCTTGGTTAGGGAGAGCTTCAATCAGTGTGGCCCAGAGTTAGGATCTCCACTTAACCAATAAAATCCCACGTGCTGAGCCCCACCTTTAATCCTACACAAAACCAAATGAATATGGGACTGGAATCAAACCCATACGGTCTAGGTGTTGGAAATTCGTGCTAAATACATGCAAAATACGTAACAGAAGACTGTATGTATAATAATACTAAGCATGTAGAGAGCATGAAAAATAAGCTAGGACCATCCTAATTAACTAAGCATGTAGAGAGCATGAAAAATAAGCTAGGACCATCCTAATTAAATCTAACATGATCCCTATATTAAAGAGAGCATACAAGAGTTAGAAAGTCATACTTTCGAAGCGTGATTCGATGGAAAATCGAACAATCCCTAGCTCTTGCTCCTTGTAGTAGTAAATCTCTTCGTAGTGGATCTCTAAGTCTTCAAGTGAGCTTGATAAAATCGGAGTCTTCTTGAGACACAAGGCAAGATATCCACTCCGGGGTACTTTAAAATCCTACTACTTCCTCTTACTCAAAGATTGTTAGAGTTTAGTTAGAGGTAGATCCCTCTTCTTTTCTTTTATGGAAAGCAACTATGAATAAACCATTTATTTCATTTTTTTCATTAATCATGAAAGAAGAAAGAGAGCTCATATTTATAGAGAAAGAATATGTCATGATATGAATGACTCATCCTATGAGTCACACCATGAGTTATCAAAACAATGATTCTCTCATGAGTCATGCAATGATGAATGACTCATCCTATGAGTCACACCATGAGTTATCAAAACAATGATTCTCTCATGAGTCATGCAATGACTCATCTCATGAGTCATGCAATGAATCATGAAGAATCAAAACTATGTGCTAAAACCATGTTCCCAAACCATACAACCTTAATGACTCATCTCATGACTCATTAATCAATGTATAATAAAGTACGTATTTCATAAATAAAAATACCACATCAATACGGTATTTTGTAATTTTCCAATCATTAACTAATAAGTCATCATATGACCAAAATGTCAATGAGTTGACCAAAAGTCAACTATTGACCAAAAAGTCAACCAGTTGACTAAAACTTAACTTTATGGGGAAAATACTGGAATTTATTTCTTAAGCACATAGCATTCTGATTTTACCGATACATATAACCGTTTATGTGTATCCGGTGAAAATCATATATGCGTATCAATCATACGCATTACTCTATAAATTTGTATTTCATATGATTTAAGTACGCGCTTGGTGTGACTCTAGAGCCCAACTTAAGAACTCGGCAGTGGATGATATCCATAAGTACAACAGATGTGCTAGTCACACATAAAGACTACCCGGGTATAAGTTGTGATAAATGTCTGTAAGATGCTTACACAATTTTATCAGGACCACTCAGCGATAATACCGTACAGTCCGGTCTCTTTATCAAACCATGTCAAACTATTGAGACTGGGGTATGAAAAACTGTCAAACCCTAATTGCTCAATTAGTGTTTGTTGATATTAAACTCATAACCTATAAGTAATTGCTCAATTAGTGTTTGTTGATATTAAACTCATAACCTATAAGATCAAACTGACACTCAGTTTATCTTATTTACCTCAGCCAAGGATTTAAACTGACAATCAGTTTATCTTATTTACCTCGGCCAAGGATTTCCAGGTTATAGTTATATCAAACAATCTTATGATATCAACCCCTTATACTGGGAGAGAAGAATCTCATCTTGGTATCTCAATATCTACTTATGCCTCGGGATGCACCTAACAAGAACCGTTATGCACAACTCGATGAGAACTGTGGTTAGGTAAAAGTCTATGTACATCTATACTGACATGTAAGATATTACACTCATACCTCAGGTCATGAGACTACTTTGTACTATATCACTTGAGAACTTCTTTTTGACAGTTAAGTATAATTACCAACTAGATGTTCTCGGTGAGTCGTTCAGTCAACTCATTCACTAATGAGTCACCTGTATACTGTATATTGATGTCTTACATCAATGATCTAAGAGATGGATCATCATCCTTCCAAAGGAGAAATAGAATATACACTATTCTTCCCAAAGTGATGATGTCCCATTTCAACACTTCATCGACTAGGAACATTTTAGAATATATGTTAGCGACAAATCAGATCTCTTCGTTACGATCATATTTGAAATGTCTAATAGTTTAGTATCATTCTAAGGACTTTATCTGTATTAAAATACCAGATAAATCTGACCAAAATAGCATACTACCATTTTGAACAAGGATGTTATATTCATATAGGTCCTATTATAATATACAATTATTACCTGCAGGGTACCTATATCTAACACTAGGATCACAATGATTCAGGCAACCCACATGAACCACCCCTTGGTGGCAATAATGATCCTTAAATCTATGTATTATAAGATAGGAATCTTATACACACACCACCCCAGTTAAATTTGGGGTCAAAGAAATCTCAAATCATTAACTTTGTCAAAAAAAATCCCTAAATCATAACTACAATGTAAAATATAAATAAATATCGTATGTTTGTAGTTTTGTAAATATTACTATTTAGAGATAGTTTTGCAAATATGCATGATTTATAGAAAGAGAGAGAGAGTATATATATATATATATATATATATATATTATATATATATTATAATTATATATACATGTATAATATATACAACTAATTACTCTACCTATATAGATATATATATATATATAGACAATATGAGTTATGCTTTCCTGGTACCAAACACAAAAACGATTATGCTTGGTAGTATGGTGTCACATCCCCCTCCAACTTCATTTGGGGACACCTATCTTTCTATGCTTAATTGATCTGATGAGGATTGACACATCACTACAGCATAAATTTGTGCTTGGCTTACCAGCATACCCATTTTTCATTATATCTATTATATATATATATATATATACATATAAATATATATATATATAATAATTATATATTATATAATATCTACTACTTACTACTTATTATCCTATATACAACATTATATGTATATATAATATATATTATATATTATTATAGGAAGGTTCTAATAAAAACCTCCTTAAGCCTAAAAAACTGAAAACTACACCTTACATCCAATGGCTAGATTCAGTCAAACAGTCAACATACACATGCATTATTCATAGCTCATTTAACAGCATTAATACATCAACGCCATGAATCCAGATTCACTGTAGTGAATCTGGATTCACTGCAGTAATTCAAGACTACGTTAGGGGAGGAATTCTGTGTTCACTTTGCTCCCAGTAATTTCAAGATACGTTCGAGGTATGTGAATCTGGATTCATGCGTTTGACGGTATCTGCCTCCTCCTTACTTCTCTAAAATCTGCGATTTCACTGCGTTTGACTCTCGTCAATTAATGACTGTTAATTAATGCATTTGTCTGTTGCTGTTGACTTGAATCCAGCATTGCTTCATCTTAGATCCAATGGCGTGAAGTGAGTTTTTTAGTTTTTTAGCTAACGGATGTTTTTTATTAGAACCGTTCCTCCCCTCTTGCTCTCCTATATACTTATTATATAATATAATATATATATTATTATAATATATATATATATTATATTATATAATATATATATATATATATTATATATGAGAAAAATGGGTATGCTTGGTACCAAGCACAAATTTTATGCTTAGTAGTGAGGTGTCTCATTCTCATCCATTCATTCAATTGGGGGGACCACATTCACCCATGTGAATGTGGTCCCCCCATTTGAATGAGTGGAGGATAATATGCCACTTTACTACCAAGCACAAATTGTGTGCTTGGTACCAAGCATACTCATATTCCTCTGTATATAAATATATAAAAGCCTGCAAATCTAACTTATATATAACATTGTCTTTTTTATGGGTTTTTCTACAATTTATAACTCAGGCAGCAACTTGGAAGCTCTGTGTGAAAATGCTCGTTGAAATTCTAAAGTTAATCTGATAAAATATTCTCACGTCACCTTCCCATCGTTGCTCTACGCTAGAACTAGAATATCTTAGCTTAATAATTAAATTTGGATGCTTCATCCTTGTCGGCAGCAAGATGCTTCTCAATTACATCACTTTTTGGAAAGTACAATGCACATGAACGAAGGTCAAATTTTAAGAGTGCTGCTACGGGGACCCAAAATATGGGACCAAGGGAGGGGACAAGTGAGGTGTCCCCTCCCTATTGCATAACGAGTTGGCATGAGTTGGCATAGCCAACTCATTATGCAATAGGGAGGGGACACCTCAACTGTCCCCTCCATTGGTCCCATATTTTGGATCCTTAAATCATTTTCCATATGGAAAGAGATATGGAAAATATCCTAATCGAACTGTATTAAATTTTCTTTTGAATTCTTTCTTTCTCGAATTTATTGCTACCGTTTTGTTTTTTAAGCAAAGATTATAGTTTGATTGTAAAACTTAAACCTTCTATAGTTTAATCTTGTATCTCCTGCATTTAAAAACATTTCAATAGTATAATTTAAAGTAACATTTCAATAGTATAATTTAAAAACCTTTCTAAAAACTAAAACACTCTTGATTACCCAAATATTTAAATGTTGCACATGAATGCCCTATAATTGAAAACATCCGGTCGATATTTTCTCTATGTATCCAAGAGTATCATACAATAGTTGGTATTAAAGTAAAACTTCTAGAAACCTTAGGGCATTTAATTGAGCCCATTTACAAACGAAGGATATTTATACGCCATATTTGGTAAACAAGAGGGCAACAATGCGCAATATTTTTAAACTTTGTGGCATCTATTTGTAACATTTAAATACGTTGGAACATTTAAACAGACTATTTTAAAATAAAGACCACTTAAGTGCAAAGTTAGAGACGCTAGGGCATTTAAGTGCAATTTAGCACAAATCCAAGAGCATATAACTTTGGCATATAACACTATTTTGAACTCAAAAGCACATAACCAAAGTCAATATAAAAACAAATCCAAAACTGTTATTGGCGATGCAAACAGATGAATCTCTCACGTTAATAACACAATCAATCCAAAGAGAAATTAAAAAAAAAAATTCAGCAATAAACAACAACAAACATCAAAAGAACTTCAAGACACCAAAACTTCTCCTCGGAGAAAGAACCCAACGAACTTTAGCAGAGCTTGGCGAGGTCCTTCGCGGGGCCAGGGTGAGCCTTGGCGAACTCGACCAGCTCGTTGTAGTCGATGAAGCCGTCGCCATCGGTGTCAATCTCGGACATCTTGACCTTAATCTCGTCGGGGTTGGTGTTGCCGGAGCCAAGAGACTTGAGAGCGTCCGCGATCTCAGCGGGCGATATCTTGCCGTCGCCGTTGGCGTCGAAACGCTTGAAGATTTTCTGCATCTCCTCTTCGGAAACGGCCATAATGCTAAATTGTGGTTCGGATAATTTCTAGGCGGAGAGAGATGAAATGAAAAGGGAATTAATTGATGCAGAGAGATTGAGAAGGCGTTGGAGTTTATAGTGATAAGTTGTGGGGGAGAGCTTCGGAGAGTTTGTCGGATCGCCCGTCGGACGCGGGTATTCTCTTTTGAAAGAGCCAGTCAAATATAATAATAACAATAATAATGGCCGCGAGTAATCCGGATAGTTAATTGGTGTTTAGTAAAATAACGAAGGAGAGAGAATTTCTCATAAACAAATATTTGCTCTATTTTAAATTCAAAGTTGCTTCAGATTAATGCAAATTTTCTTGGGAAACACTTCTTGGAAAAAACAGACACTTTTCAACAGTCATTTGTCTATTCATATTTTAATAAATTTGAAAATTTAAAATAATAATAATAAATATAAATTCAAAATATATACTAAAAAGTTAGAATATTTAAGCAGAAGCGGCAAGTGTGCAAAATGCTAAGTGCGTCTAATAATCGCGAATTATATATTCGCACTACCCGCACGTGGGTTTAGAAGCCTATACTTTGATCTATTTATCAAATCCCAATAATCATTAAATGCTTTTAAACCTCTAAAAAGAATGCTCAAATATCCGATGCGGGACTATCTTGTTTTTACAAATAAATACTAACAGCTGGGAGGTTCCAATATAGCTCTCGTGATTTTAGATTCGCTTCGGAGTTGAGTTATAAAAAAGGGGGGAAGATAAATCTATTTTATTTAAATGAACTAGTCCATGTGTATGCTGCGTAAAAGCAAATTAAACTTTTTCTGCATACTGGTTACTTAATTTTATATTACTTTTATTAATATCTAAAGCCTAATGAATTGCATAGTACTATTGGCTTAACAAAAACAAAACTATCAGTTTTATTTATTTATCCAATTTTTAATATATAATTAATATAATTATAGGAAGTTTTAAATACTATTTGAACTAGTACTCTTTGTTAGAAAAAATGATTTTAAATCATGCATGATACGAATTAAGATTCTTATGATCATTCAAGATGTACACAGCTCATTTTAAAAATGGTAATATGTTCAGAATTATTATGAGATGAGGGAGGCCTTTGGCCTCCCCCTCATTATCCCTCCATTCACACCCCATTATGGTGATGTAACACCCCATTAAGTGATGGTGACTCTTGGGTACTCAACCTATTCACATTGATTAGTATAAATATATATCATAGGCCTTTGGCCTATGTACTTGCTTTAAACACGTTATCAGCACGAAGTGTTCTTGAATTTCTGAGCCATAAAAAAAAATATATTTCCTTCCTCTTTTGCGCATTGAGATCTGGTTCGTTGCAGCGGGAGCGTTCGACGGATCATCGCAAGGAGGCAGCGTTCTACGGATCTTTAGTATCGATCGTCCCTAGATCTGTGATCTAGAGGTAATTACTATAATCCGTAGAATAATATATGGCAGCTGAAAAATTAACAAGGAAAAAAAATTTTTTGTTACTGTTCACCGAGGGTTACTGTTCACTCGGGAATTTTTTTTAAAGCAATTTTATTGTTGTTCATCTAATCTAATTGCTTTCATTATTTGTTGGCATAACTAGTAATTAATACTATTAGTTAATTGCTAATAAAAAAAAATTTATGTGCTCATGTTGATGAAACTGGCGAGAAGTTCTGCGGCTTCTGCTAGTTTGTAAAAATTCATATATTGTGTTAAATTTGCACATTTACGCTGATAACATTTCCTATTTTCATGAATATTATTTGGTTTTGCTTAGTATTAACGGAAGTGACCATTGCTAGGGAAATGCTCTTAAATTACATATTCTTGAGAAGAAAACAGTAACACCAACACCAAGGTATTATTGTATATGTCCAGTTAACATGACATAAAATCATATTTGGCCCCTATAGTTTTTAATGCTATTCTTTAAACACATATACATTTTTCTAATGGAATGCTAAACCCTTGGTTGTTTCAGAGTTTCCATTCAGGGCACTTGCATTATTTTTTTAATCATCACTTGTTATTTTCAAGTTCAAACTCACAATTTCTACATGATATTAAAAGTATTAAGTAGGCAGTATCGCATAGAAACAAAAAGAAGTCTAGAAAAAAAAGTATTCCATTGAAGACGAAGGTATTTTTGCAAAATGCAGGGAGCCCCTAGGGTTTTCCAAATTGTATTTTAATTTTATGTTTTTTGTTATCTTTGGACTGTATAATCGGACTTTGGACACTTTTTATTTTTTGGTGACGGGCTGATCCACGCAACATGTTTATTGCATGAATTTTTAATTCCTTATTATTAATTCATGTCTTTCAAATGCATAGATAAAATGGCTAAAATAGCGAGCGTTGATTTCGAAGTCCTTGACGCTGCTGGCAAGAATTATTTGAGTTGGCATGTGGACCTGAAGTTCCACTTACGTGCCCAGGGCTTATTAGCCACAATTTCAACTCCTGCTCCATCGGCTCAGGTCACTGTTACGGGTAATGCTGTAAATAATGCTGAGGTTGCTACTACAGTGATCGTCTCTGATATAGATAAGGCGAAAGCCATTATCTACATCAGGAGACATATTGATCGGACCCTGAAGGCCGAATACCTGACTGTAGAGGACCCAAAGGAATTGTGGACTGCACTTGAGGACCGATACAAACATCAGAAAGATGTGATCCTCCCACGTGCACGTTATGAGTGGGAAAACCTCCGACTTCAGGACTTTAAGTCCGTAGCTGAGTATAACTCAGCACTTCATAATATCACCTCACGCCTGAAGTTGTGTGGTGAAGAAGTTTCGGAGGAACGCATGTTGGAGAAGACTTACACATCCTTCCACGAGAAGGATGCAATCCTCATGCAATAGTACCACGAACGAAAGTTCAAAAAGTATTCTGAATTGCACTCCACCCTTCTGATGGCGGAGCAAAACAGAGAATTGCTTTTGGCCACTCATAACCTACGCCCTGCAGGCTCAGCTCCACCACCCGAAGCTCACATGTTTTCTTCCCAGAAGCAGAAGAAAAAGCATAAGGGTAAATTCAACAAGGGGAAAGCCCCTAAGTGGCAGGTCAGATGTCCACCCCAGAAAAACAACCCTCCCCAGAGCAGCAATAGTAAGGGAAAGAAGAAGTGGAAGAAGAAGACAACTGAGCTGACGTCCATTCCCAAGAACACTTGGGAGGATAAATGCCACAAATGTGGCATGACTAGACATTGGTCCAGAAACTGTCGCACTCCGCGACACCTCCAAGATCTGTATCTAGCGAGCCTGAAGTCTACTGTTGAAACAAATCTGGTGGAAAAGCAGCCGTCTACTCAGTTCACTGCTGATGACTTCGAAATGGATGATCTTCTAGACTAGATCCATGTTATCTTTATATGCATTTAAATTCTCATAGTACTTTCATCTTTAGTTCTTTACTTTCCATGTAATGCACTTTACTTTTCAATAAAGATAGTTATTTTCTTTAGATTAAAATATTGCATTCATGTTATAGATGAAGTGTGAGTGCCTTGTGGACAGTGCCTCGACGCACACAATCCTTCGCGAAAGAAGCTATTTCAATAGCTTATATGATTATGACGATCCCGTAATTACGATTTCGGGACTATCTAACATAATAGAAGGATTTGGTGAAGTCATCATTCACCGTCTTCACTGCTGCATTGATCACCGGCTCGTGTTGGAACCAACTTGAGGGAACAGTCCCGAAACTAATGGATACCATGTTTGCACCCACTTTCTTCTCTTTGGGCTGCTTCATGGTGATAATCCCAACATCGATTAGGGCCTGAATCTTATCTTTGAGAGCGTAGCATACCTTGGTGGGATGGTGCACCGTTCGGTGGAATGCACAGTATTTCGGATCGTTGACCCTCTTGGCATTTTCTTGATCCTGAATCGGTGGCAACTTGATCTTGTTGTTCTGAACGAGGTATTTGAAGATACCCGGGATTGCCATTCTTCGACGAAATTTAAACTTTGGCATAACAGACTGGGTCACCCAGGATCAGCAATGATGCACCACATCGTGATCCAATCAAGTGGACACAACCTGAAGAACCTGAAGATTCTTCAGAAGGGTGATTACTCATGTCTATCTTGTTTCCAAGGTAAACTGATCACGAGACCTTCCCTTCTGAAAGTGGGATTAGAGTCTCCTAGCTTCTTGGAGAGAATACATGGCGATATTTGTGGGCCTATTCACCCCGCAAGTGGACCATTTAGGTACTTTATGGTACTTATAGATGCATCAACCAAGTGGTCTTACGTGTGCCTTTTGTCCACCCGCAACTTAGCTTTTTCAAAGCTATTGGCACAAATTATTAAGTTGCGGGCTCATTTCCCCGATAATCAAATCAAGAAATTACGTCTTGATAATGCGGGAGAATTCACTTCACAAGTCTTTCAAGACTATTGCCTAGCAACTGGCATCGAAGTTGAACATCCTGTAGCACATGTTCACACCCAGAACGGGTTAGCAGAATCTCTAATTAAGAGATTGCAATGGATTGCTCGTCCATTGTTGATGCAATCACAGTTGCCTGTTGAGGCTTGGGGTCATGCCATATTGCATGCCGCTTCGCTTATCAGAATACGACCCTCTGGTGGCCATATTTTGTCACCAATGCAGCTTGCTTATGGTGCACCTCCGAATATCTCACATTTGAGAGTGTTTGGTTGTGCAGTTTACGTCCCAATTGCTCCTTCACAAAGGACCAAAATGGGTCCACATCGTCGTTTGGGTATCTATATAGGGTTTGATTCGCCCTCTATAATAAGATACCTCGAACCCCAGACGGGTGACGCATTTAAAACACGTCTTGATGATTGTGAATTTGTTGAGGATTCATTTCCTAAACTTGGCACACAGTCCAGGAAGCCTGACGCTTCTAAGACCATTTCTTGGAACACCAAGACTTTGTCTCATTATGATCCGCGTACTAGTCAATGTGAAGATGAGATCCTAAAGATTCTTCATCTTCAGAATACAGTACATTTACTTCCGGATAAATTCACTGATAACCAGAAGATTGTCAGATCACACGTCCCTGCTGTCAACACGCCAGCTAGGATTGACATCCCCAAAGATGGATGCAATCCGCCGGCAGCAGAAACGGCTGTACCTCAATTGAAAAGAGGACGCCCACCAGGTTCGAAGGACAAAGTCCCTCGTAAAAGAAAAAATCCTGGAGAAATAAAGATGAACCCAACACAGGATACTGAGCTCAGACCAGCTTCCTCTCCCCTCCTAGATTCCCCTGAAGAGGAACAAATAGGAGAAACATCATTAAATTTTGTACGTACTGAGGAGGTACTGGACAGAAAAAGCACAGTCGTCGACGACGACTTTGCGTTCGATATTGCCGTTCACGTCACTGAATACGACGATGACATCGAACCACGGTCTCTAGCGGAATGTAAACGCAGAGACGATTGGCCAAAGTGGAACGAGGCAATAGGAGTAGAGCTGGACTCACTCTTGAAACGCGAAGTCTTTGGACCAGTAGTCCAAACACCTAAAGGTGTAAAACCTGTGGGATATAAGTGGGTCTTCATCAGAAAAAGAAATGAACACAACGAGGTTGTGCGCTACAAAGCACGGCTTGTAGCACAAGGTTTTTCCCAAAGACCGGGAATAGACTATGAAAAAACATATTCTCCGGTTATGGATGGGAATACCTTCCGATTCCTAATAAGCCTCTCATCTCTGGAAGGCCTAGAAATGCAGCTCATGGACGTTGTGACTGCATATCTATATGGCAATATAGATAAAGATATCTATATGAAACTCCCTGAAGGATATAAAATTCCACCAGAGATAGCAGATAGACCTCGGGACGTCTATTCTGTTAGGCTTCAAAGATCATTATATGGTCTTAAGCAATCGGGGAAAATGTGGTATAACAGACTAAGTGAGTTCCTTGCTACGCAAGGATTCACAAATGATAAAGTCTGCCCGTGTATCTTTATAAAAAGATCGGGAACAGGATTCATTATAGTCGCCGTCTATGTCGACGACTTAAATCTCATTGGATCTCCTGCAGAGATCGCTGGGATATCTGAAAGCCTTAAGAATACTTTTGAAATGAAAGACCTAGGCAAAACAAAGTATTGTCTTGGCTTACAGATCGAACACCTTAAGGGTGGTATCCTGTTACACCAATCCACATATACACGGAAATTACTTAAAAATTTCCGAATGGATAAATGTCATCCTCTTAGTACACCAATGGTTGTTCGATCATTGGATGTAAAGAACGACCCCTTCCGTCCGCTGGAAGAGGGGGAGGAAATGCTAGGTCCTGAAGTACCTTACCTCAGTGCCATTGGAGCACTATTATATCTGGCTAACTGTACGCGTCCCGATATAGCGTTTTCAGTTAACCTACTAGCCAGATACAGTGCAGCGCCCACAAAGCGCCACTGGAATGGAGTTAAGCATCTTCTGCGCTACCTCCAAGGGTCTATAGACCTGGGATTATATTTCCCGAAGGGTGGGTCTCCCACCTTAATTGGTTATTCAGATGCAGGTTACAGGTCTGATCCCCACACCGAGAAATCACAAACCGGATTTGTGTTTACATTCGGTGGTACGGCCATCTCCTGGAGGTCTGTCAAGCAAACCACTGTAGCAATCTCATCCAACCATTCCGAACTCCTCGCGATCCATGAAACCAGCAAAGAATGTGTTTGGCTTCGTTCTGTCATTCAGCACATCTTAGTGTCTACCGGCCTGAAGACTGGTGACCTTGAGCCAACTACTATATTTGAAGACAATGCAGCCTGCGTTGCTCAACTTCAGTCTGGCTTCATCAAGGGTGACAAGACGAAGCACATATCTCCCAAGTTTTTCTGGACGCACGATCTTCAAGAGGAGGAGCAAGTTAAAGTACAGCAGATCCAATCATGTAATAATTTAGCTGACTTGTTCACTAAGGCTCTGCCTAGATGTACTTTTGTAAAACTTGTAAAAGGAATAGGGATGAGACATCTGAAAGACCTACAAGCCTGAAGCTTGTATGGTTCAGGGGGAGTAACCTATGGGTTGTACTCTTTTTCCTTAGGCTGATGGTTTTTTCCCACTGGGTTTTCCACAGCTAAGGTTTTAACGAGGCAAACAAGTTTACTCTGGATCCAGAAGTATCCACCCCATTAGCTTTACGAACCCTGAAGTGTTCATAAGCTAAACTCAAGGTAATGGATGGATAAGGGGGAGTATTATGAGATGAGGGAGGCCTTTGGCCTCCCCCTCATTATCCCTCCATTCACACCCCATTATGGTGATGTAACACCCCATTAAGTGAGGGTGACTCTTGGGTACTCAACCTATTCACATTGATTAGTATAAATATATATCATAGGCCTTTGGCCTATGTACTTGCTTTAAACAAGAATTTTATTTTTATTTCTCACGTTCATTTTGTTATTAATTTAAATTAATGATAAAATTAACTATGTGAGGGACATTAGAACTTCGATTTATTTCAGGACGTTACAAGCGTTAACTTGGTAGTAACATCATTACAGGCAATCATGAAAGGATCACCAATTTTAGTCATAACTCTTTAAATCGGTCGCTCTTTCTTAATCTTTCAACATATATAAGACTATACTCACACATGAATATCCAACATACATCAATCTGTCGCGCGCCTATGCGGAAGCGTTGCACGCACACACAACGAACTTGAGATCACGGAAGAAGAAAGCCACACACTTCCTGCACTCTGCACCATGGGTGTAGCAGAGGGTGTGGTGCAGGACAGATTCTGCCACACCCTGTACCGTGGGTATGGCAGAGGGTGTGATGCAGGACAGATTCTACCACACCCATGGCAGACACCACACCAGGGTGTGGT